ACATTAAAACATTGATTGTAACCATGATATATATGTGCTTCAGCCTACAGTTTAGACCTATTGTCTTATGTATGACCCTCTGTCCTGCGTGACAGTGAATACCAGCATTAACCTCAATTTAATAAGACTATCAAAATCCTCAGATTAGGCAAAATTGTAATTAATTTTGTCAATAAAGATGTTAATAATAAATACATAGACACACATCACAAACAATAAACATATTACCAAACATTCTGAGAGATAAACATACACATTTCCCGTCTTCAGGGATGGACTCATAATACATCAAGGGTACCTACCTTGAGGCTACCTTGAGGTGCTTCCGGGGCTTAGTGTCCCCGCGGCCCGGTCGTCGACCAGGCCTCCTGGGTATGTACAAGGGTCAGAAGCATTGTACATATATAATCACTTCCCTCAGTACCATATTGTGTCAGAAAGTTTTGCAAACACAGCACAAAATCGGAACTTATCAGTGAATCATTAACTTAGCAGTGAATCATTAACTTAGCAGTGAATCATTAACTTTAGCAGTGAATCATTAACTTTAGCAGTGAACTATTCACTTAGCAGTGAATCATTAACTTTAGCAGTGAATCATTAACTTTAGCAGTGAATCATTAACTTTAGCAGTGAATCATTAACTTAGCAGTGAATCATTAACTTTAGCAGTGAATCATTAACTTTAGCAGTGAATCATTAACTTAGCAGTGAATCATTAACTTTAGCAGTGAATCATTAACTTAGCAGTGAATCATTAACTTAGCAGTGAATCATTAACTTTAGCAATGAATCATTAACTTTAGCAGTGAATCATTAACTTTAGCAGTGAATCATTAACTTTAGCAGTGAATCATTAACTTAGCAGTGAATCATTAACTTTAGCAGTGAATCATTAACTTTAGCAGCGAATCATTAACTTTAGCAGCGAATCATTAACTTTAGCAGTGAATCATTAACTTTAGCAGTGAATCATTAACTTAGCAGTGAATCATTAACTTTAGCAGTGAATCATTAACTTTAGCAGCGAATCATTAACTTTAGCAGCGAATCATTAACTTTAGCAGTGAATCATTAACTTAGCAGTGAATCATTAACTTTAGCAGCGAATCATTAACTTTAGCAGCGAATCATTAACTTTAGCAGTGAATCATTAACTTAGCAGTGAATCATTAACTTTAGCAGTGCATCATTAACTTTAGCAGTGAATCATTAACTTAGCAGTGAATCATTAACTTTAGCAGTGAATCATTAACTTAGCAGTGAATCATTAACTTAGCAGTGAATCATTAACTTATCAGTGAATCATTAACCTTAGCAGTGAATCATTAACTTTAGCAGTGAATCATTAACTTATCAGTGAATCATTAACTTATCAGTGAATCATCAACTTAGCAGTGAATCATTAACTTAGCAGTGAATCATTAACTTTAGCAGTGAATCATTAACTTAGCAGTGAATCATTAACTTATCAGTGAATCATTAACTTATCAGTGAATCATGTACTGGTTATGGTCCTGTCTAAACAAGGTCATTAGAGAGAACCAATTGCCTTGGAATTTCTGACGGGAGGCGAAATAATAACGAGGACTTACAATGGTTCAAAGTTCGACTATATTGTTCACATGTTCAACGTTAGTTGCAAGGTTCAATATGTGTGCGTGCAACAGCGGTAGATCACCGGCATATCCGAACATTGACCCCCTCCCCCCCCCCTACACACACACGCTTTTCGATCACCGGTACAGCCGAACACAAGCGTACATGTGGTTAACTATCCACTTGGACTGATGAGTTCAGATGCGATGGTCTGTCTTTACTGGGGGGGGGGGGGTTTGGGGGGAGTATACACTGAGATTATTAAGTGTTGTGGAGTGTTACAAGAATGTAACATTCTTACAAGAATGTAACATTCTTACAAGAATGTAACATTCTTACAAGAATGTAACATTCTTACAAGAATGTAACATTCTTACAAGAATGTAACATACTTACAAGAATGTAACATTCTTACAAGAATGTAACATTCTTACAAGAATGTAACATTCTTACAAGAATGTAACATTCTTACAAGAATGTAACATTCTTACAAGAATGTAACATTCTTACAAGAATGTAACATTCTTACAAGAATGTAACATTCTTACAAGAATGTAACATTCTTACAAGAATGTAACATTCTTACAAGAATGTAACATTCTTACAAGAATGTAAGAACTCTTGTATTTTATAAATAAAATATCACAAAAAAATTAACATTTTGCAGTGGAGGATATATCACAGTTATTAATAACTGTACTTGACTCTCATTAAGAACATATCAGTGCCTACGAGGAAGCAAGGTAGATAGCTCTTTAATGCTCCGCTGAAATAGAGGATCCGAAAGAATGAATGGGTGCCCAACCACCTGGACCCTCGGGGATCGAACACCGACCTGCATCAAGCGAGGACGTCGCTGTACCGACTGGTGCAGGTGAGAGGATGTTTATGTATTCTGTACCAAAATATGAGATGGCCTGATCCCGGATACACAAGTGGATCACGTGATGGAAGAGAACGGGTGGATAAAATATTGACTTTTAAGATGGCCAGCAAAACAGCCATGTGGAAAAAGGATCTTGAAAGACCTGGAGAAAGATAATGAGGAAAGGAATTGTGACGTTGGAGAGTCTTGTGGGTGTCTGGAGTTGACGGATTGCTGGTCAATTCCGTGAAGAGTTTGTAGCCAGAAAGTAGATTGAGGGCGGGAGGGAACTATCAGGGGTGAAAGCGCCTTGTTGTTGTTGTTATAGATTCAGCTACTCGGAACAAGTTCCAAGTAGCACGGGCTATGGTGAGCCCGTAACTTACCTGGCACAGGAGCGGGGCAAGAAGCACGGGCTATGGTTAGCCTCGTGGACAGATGTCTCCCGTCTGGAAAGCGCCAAGCTATCGCGATTAATATAGCACTTGGAAGGGGGTCAGGATAAGGATTAGGGATGGGACGGGGAAGAAATAGTACCCTAACCATTTGGACGGTCGGGGATTGAACGCCGACCTGCATAAAGCGAAACCGTCACTCTACCGTCCACCCCCAAGTGGTTGGGCGACAGTAGAAGCAGTGTCTCCTTCTACTGTAGAAGGAGACACTACTCCTACTGTCTACTGAAGGACAGTAGAAGAAGTTTATGATGTAAGGAGTGGCTGGGGCTATAAATGTAGTTACTTGGACACCAAGACACAGGACACTGGACACCAGGACACAGGACACTGGACACCAGGACACTGGACACTGTCTCATGCCCGGCCAGTGTACACTGAGAAACAAGGTTGGACCAGGTGAGCACAGTTACCTGGTTGATACCTGTTCTGGGAGTTCTTCTACTCCCCAAGCCCAGCCCGAGGCCAGGCTTGACTTGTGAGAGTTTGGTCCACCAGGCTGTTGCTTGGAGCGGCCCGCAGGCCCACATACCCACCACAGCCCGGCTGGTCCGGCACTCCTTGGAGGAGTTGAGAAGGACGGGTGAACTTAGTGCATGATAAGAACTAATGAAACATGTAAACATCTTTGTCGATAAAGCCATTTTCCGAGGAGAAAGTGTATGTGCTGTATGCTGAGTAGTTGAAAGTTTGATGCTGTGCTCAACGAGAAGGAAGCTCAACGTAAATAGGGATAATAATCATGATCAATAAACTTTATCATTCTTGTGTGGACAAAAAAATATGAGTGTAAATTGAAATTGTATTCACGAGTGCTGGAAATTATTATTACTTGTAAATATTTGGATTAATTTTTGTAAATTTTGTAAACGAGGTGATTAAACTGAGAAGAGGAAAGTAGCTAGTACAATGAAAGCCGTGGGTGGAAGAAATTAGATAATTAGAGAGATACTCATATTCCCAAAGACACAAACATTCTTCGGGAATCTGTACACCGGTTGAATTGACAGTTGAGAGGCCGGGACCAAAGAGCCGAAGCTCAACCGCTTCAAGCACCACAACTAGGTGAGATGTAACAAGCCCCTCTTGTTCGGATTGCTGGTGGGAGTCAACATGAAATTTAAATTGAAATAAGTTTATTGAGGTAAAATACACACAATGGGATGAGGTAGCTCAAGCTATTCTCACCCCGTTCAGTACATCGTGTTAATACATACATAGACACACATCACAAACAATAAACATATTACCAAACATTCTAAGAGATAAACATATACATTTCCTATCAACATGAAAAATCAAGGATTTCAGAGCTGGAGAAAGAAATTTGTTGTCATATAGAAAGATGAGCGCATATACAAACTGGTGAACCATATGATTGACAAGACTATGTTAAACAGCTGTGGTCATGCAACCCGTCTTCGACTCAAGTCCATTCCGTCCAGCGATCGACCCCACAGACGCATTCATAAATTTTTACATGCTGTTCATTCAAAACTGGAATTTTCTCAAATATATAAATTAATATTGTAATATATTAGCATATTGTGCATATATATATATATATATATATATATATATATATATATATATAGGCATAGGTTAGGTGTTTAGGTTCTGTTGGCGATTATTTGTATTTGTAGTACGTGGGTGAAGCATTTACAGGGTTATGGTTCAAGCAAAATTCGTCAGTGAAGCACTTGTTCCGGAAGTGTTCGAACGAAATCAGTTGTGAGTCGTGTGTAAACTGTTTTTCATTCATAAACAGTGGGTTTGGCGGGTGCATGGAATCACTTTTGTGTCTTTGTTTGGAGGACGGGCTGGGAGGATGAGTTGTTATTTAGCGGACGGGCTGATCAGTTCAAAGCTATGACTCGAGACGAGCTTCGTTCACACCCAGTCCCTATTGTAACCATTCAACAAATCAATGTAAAAGAACCACCTTAATTAACCTCCTTATGACCTCACTATGTATAAACCCCCAATATATAAAGAAATTAAATTTGTACTTGAGTAAAAAAAATAAACAGTTAATTACCCCCTCTATATAAAAAGGCTCACCCCTTACCCTTCGGTTGCCAGATATTTAAGTCAGAACGGCATAGTGACCACCAGTGTATATTCGACGGGCGAGAGGTGAAGGTTGGCTGTGTTACGGGGCAGACTGTGGTAAAGGGATATACACCAGATTATAGTGCAAGGCACAGAAGGAGCAGCCGAGGAGGAGACAAGTGGTGATATAAAGTGGTGCTCGAGTGCGAACTGCTCTCTCTCACACACACACACGGGGAAGTGGGAGTTACATAAGGGGGAGATTAATCACTATAGTGGGAGTTTACAACGAGGAGATTACTCACTATAGTGCGAGGATTACCTATATATATATCCTTGTTCCTAGAAGATGAACGAGTGGTTTACCCGGCGCTGCTTCAGAAGGTATGGTGTTGATTGTTTCGTTACCTCAGAAGGGATTGTTTTGATTGCTCAGTTACCCCAGAAGGGAGTGTTTTGATTTAGTTACTTCAGAGGGGATTGTTTTGATTGTTTAGCTACCTCAGAAGGGAGTGTTTTGATTTAGCTACCTCAGAAGGGAGTGTTTTGATTTAGCTACCTCAGAAGGGATTGTTTTGATTTAGCTACCTCAGAAGGGATTGTTTTGATTAAATCCCGTCCACGGGTAACTAAACAAAGCTTGAAGGGGCCACTTAAAAAAAAAAAAAAACTATCTTCATCGTTCGACAGTGCTGGCGGCTTGGTGTTACAGCTATTAAACATGTTATGAGTTCCGAGGCACTACGGGGGGTTGTAATGACAATAACGCTGGGTTCTGAAGTGTCTTAAGCTGCCGCCGTGATGGAGGAAAGATGTACAGGTTTCGTAAGTGGACACGTAAATGTTTTTTAATGAGGTTTGGTAAGATTCCCAACCCACTGGATCTCCCCCCTTCCCCCTCCCTCGTCCAGAACTGTGGCTTAGGGGGGGGGGCTGACGTTACTAGGTAGTATTATTGTGCCCATCACGCAGTCTAATTGTTAATTGTTAACTCTGCTGCTGCTACTGTTAACTCTGCTGCTGCTACTGTTAACTCTGCTGCTGCTACTGTTAACTCTGCTGCTACTCTGTTAACTCTGCTGCTACTCTGTTAACTCTGCTGCTACTCTGTTAACTCTGCTGCTACTGTTAACTCTGCTGCTGCTCTGTTAACTCTGCTGCTACTGTTAACTCTGCTGTTACTCTGCTAACTCTGTTAACTGTGCTGCTACTAGCCAGCCAGGGTTCAGTATAGGGTGACCTGGCCCCCTCTCACTTGGCCCTTGTTAGTGGGTCATTCTGTCCGGCTGGGATTGATTACGCTTTAACATGGGGGGAGGAGGATTGAATAGGACGGTATCTATTTAAGAGAGGTGGGGAATTATCAAGGGGAAAGCGCCAAGCTATTACGACTATATAGCACTGGTCAGGGATCAGGATAAAAATCCTGATCCTTATATAGGATTTGGAATGGGGGAAGAGGGGAAGGAATGGTGCCAGAGAGAAATTTTAAGATAAATTTTAAGCTTTAATACGTAAAATATAAATTTCCTTGTGAAAAATTCTTATCTCGATAGACTTCTGTCAGGATCTTGAATCTTGATCTTGAATTGATCTTGAATTGATTGAATTGAATCTTGATCTTGAATTGTTCTGTCGACTGCCGCCAGACACCACTTCCAGGTTGTCTCCGGTCTCGCTTCAGGCAGGTCGGCGTTCAATCCCCGACCGTCCACAAGTGATTGGGCATCATTCCTTCCCTCCTCCGTCCCATCCCATATCCATATCCCTTCCCAGTGCTATGTAGGTTTGACGCTTTCTCCTGATATATCACGGGAGACATCTCCCGGCACGCAGGGTGCAGTCGCACTTCCACAGATCTCCAGTATCAGCTGTTGATACTGGTAATGGCTCAAAAGGGCCTCCACTTACGGGCTATTCATGCCCATGCCACCTTTTGGGTGGCTTAATCTTCATCATTCAATCATCCTGATATATTCCCTCTCTTCCAGCTTCTCTTGCTTCATGTGAACGTGTCTCTTGTGCCAGTGACCAAGCCAGTGACCAAGCCAGTGACCAAGCCAGTGACCAAGCCAGTGACCAAGCCAGTGACCTTTGACCCCCCCCTCCCCAAGTTGTCTAGGAAATTGTTAGCGGCCTCTGCCCTCGTGTACATGGTTACCCGCACCAGGGTAATGAGCCTGTCTGCAGGCGAGGAGTCACAATAACGTGGCTGAAGTATGTTGACCAGACCACACACTAGAAATTGAAGGGACGACGACGTTTCGGTCCGTCCTGGACCATTCTCAAGTCGACTTGAGAATGGTCCAGGACGGACCGAAACGTCGTCGTCCCTTCAATTTCTAGTGTGTGGTCTGGTCAACAATGAGCCTGTCCATTGTTACCATGACCAGGGGGGGGGGGAGGAGCCCAGAGCCATGCTCCTGGTAGTGCACATACATACAGACCAACATATACACACACGCATACATATACACATGTATACCTTGTGTATACCTTGAGGTGCTTCCGGGGCTTAGCGTCCCCGCGGCCAGGTCGTCGACCAGGCCTCCCTGGTCGTATGTGTACATATACAATTCCATCCGTCCATTTGCATATGTATGCACATGGATACTCGCTTTCAATAAGGCCGAAAACACCTTTAAACGAATTTAAGATAACGGGCATCTCAAGCAAGCTCAAGGAGCACAGTTGTGTAGTCATTCTTGTGTTCGAATACTTTTGAGTTCAGTATAAATATTTATCTTTTTGCGAAGTGGGCGTGGCCAGTCGTGGGCGGGGCATCCACCACCACCACTGGCTTACCTAACAGTACAGGGGGCGTGGCCGAGGAGAAAGGTGGGGGGGGGAGGGCTAGTTCTTGATGGCCCGCCTACCAGCCTCGTTGTTTGGGTGTGGTTGTCGGGATGAGGTTTAAGGTATGGCAATTGTGGGCGTGGCAATTGTGGGCGTGGCCGACGGGGGCGGGAGGGAGGGGGGTGTTCCTAGGTCATGCAACAGGGCGTGGCCAGGTTTCTACAGGTATTGCTAGGGCGGTCGTTGACAGTGCAACATACACGTACACACACACACACGTACACACACGTACACACACGTACACATACACGTACACACACGTACACATACACGTACACACACCATCTGCTTGACGAGACACTAGCCAAACCGGCTTCGCTAGCTTTCTTCTCAGATTTATATATATTTACGATGTATTTTTCCTTCATATTTCATAGTTCTGTTAAGGATGTGTTCAAATCTTTTTATCCTACGGCATTTACAAGGCTGTATGCTAGACCTTTTCTCTCTTCTTCCCTACTCTCTGTTCCTACAGGTGTGTGTGGGGGGGGGGGGGGGGGAGCTACATGTTCCAAGACTGAAATGCAGTGTACACTGACTCTCTCCGAGATTAAATGTTTGATGTTTTCAATGTTCGTCTCTGTGACAACCATGTTTAAGGTTGCTAGTTGGTGTCATCCATTTTTACATATGTGTGGATGTTTCTGTCTACAGCTTCTGTCAGCTTTGTTCTGCATGGTTTTTGTTTTCTCTAGTTACATTACGTAATCAGTTTGACCATTACTGAAGTCTCCCATTACTAGCAGCTTTTCACTTTGTGGGATATGGCTGGCCAGTCCACGCAGAAGGTTACATCACACGGAACAGCACCGGATTACTCGATCCTTGGCATCAGCGGCTTAACTTCCTTGACACCATTCAATTATAATGTCACTCGGTGTATACGTATCTAAACGCCCAAATTTACTCGGCCGTCACACACAACACTAAGAGAAGATTGAGAGCGAACTAGACAATTCCACCCATCGCATCTAGTCTAAACTGTTGGTCCACTTAAGGGGGAAGGAGGGGGGGGGGCAGTTGAGAGGCAATTCGTGTATACAGAACGACCTGCCTCTCAACCTTCGATATATATATATATATATATATACACCTACATGTTCGTTGTTCATACACACTAAAACTTAATTCCGTCGTCACGCATGAAGACTGCCAAGATGTAATGTCTTCAAGATCCGTCGAGAAATGAGGGCCCGTAGCTATGTGGCATATAGCACTTGGAAAGGATATGAGGTTAAGGATTTGGGATGGGAAGGAATGTTGTCCAATCACTCGGAGGCTCAGGGATTGAACACAGACCTGCATGAAGCGAGACCGTAGCTCTACCGTCCAGCCCAAGTGGTTGGGCTCGTGTCTGGCAGTGTCGCCTTGATCCCCTCGTGTACTTGTATATTTACTGTCCTGTTCTTAAGCGTCTTAAAGAATATAGTTAAGTCGTGTGGGCCAAGAGAGAAAGAAACAGTTGTGGATGCATAATGGTCACAGGGAAAAAGAAAAAAAAATGTTTTATTTAGAACATTGCTGCAAGGATAATATCAAAGCGTCCAATTTGCGAAATATTGTAGTGAATATAAAGAAATTAAGATGCAGTAAGATGTTTTTTAAACTACAGTAGATCCAAAGAAAAATCCTGTAATTATCTAAAGTGCTTGGACAGTTAACTTTTTTTTTTTTTTTTAGTTTAAAGATCTACAGTCTCTGAATTGTTTATTTGACGCCCCCCCCCCCAAAAAAAAAAAAACATCGACGCCTAGTCGAAGAAGTTTGTCATTCTCAATGACTAAGGCCTTCACATCAGCATGAAAGACCATAGATTCCCGCAACTGTACTAAGCACCCAAACGGGCCATTCTGCTCGAAGGTATTGTAGTCCGTTGTATCAAAATTGATTAAACTTTTGATTTTCTTCGGGGGTGGGGGGGGGGTAAAAAAAAGGGGGGGGGGACTAATGCACTGCTTGGATATAAGTCAAGAAAGTTAATAGACCAGTCATTCTCTGCACCAGTAGAGTGTGACCAGTGAACTGCAGTCGCTTCACGGTATTTAAATTTTTCGTATTAACTCGTATTTCCCGACATTAGTGTACTGACTGGCCGATGAAACGTCAGCCAACCGCATCCGTCCGCGGAAATAACCTGCAGTTTGGCAATAAAATCAGTCATGCCTACATGAGGGCTGAAGCACCATCACTCAGGAGTCGTAAGACGCCACAATCCTATGCTTCGGTTCATCCCAACTGGTATATTTCTTATATTTAAGATCATTTTAAGGAAGCCAGAAGGCGTTGTGATAGGCGTTGGTTGTGTTGGTTGAGGGTTGTGTATGTGCATCCTGGTGTTGTGGGTCTGTGTGATGTCACTACGAGAGTTATTGCCTTGCTGAATTGAAGGTATTCCAAGGGTTCTGAGGTCAATAAAGCTGCATAAGTTTACCAGTAGCCTTCAGGGCCATCATCGTTGGTGTTCTGAGAGCCTCGACTGTTCCCTTAACAAGAGGGTAGTGTCGGCCAGGGCCATCTGTTACATGCAG